CTTAGTTGAAAAGAGAACTGAAGTTTCAGCTGCCATTCACATGTAATACGTGTGAATGAGCAAGTCAGAAATTCATCTCATGATTTTGGCAATCATTTGAAACATTATTTTATTCATATGGAAATCATAGATTCCTGTATGCATGTAATTGAAGTAACAGTTTGATGGTCACATACAGTTTAAGAGAGGTATGTGATTTCCAAAATATTTATTTAACAGTTGCTCAGGAATACATCAATTTTTGTTAAGACAAAGCACATGACATAAGAATCATGTATGGTCAGGAGAAATGTAGTTTGACTTGGCTCTGAACGTTCAATGTTTGAGTCACTGAAGATAACATATTGTGGCTTATTATCATGTTGAATCAAGGTATTTCATACCTATCGCTCTTGATAACTTTTCTGCAGTTTTTTCAGGAATTTTGAGTAAAATGCAATTTGTTAAGGGAACTTTGAACTCAAAGCTTGGATTGTTTTCAGCAGCAAGGATGTTGGCTTATCAGCAAAGAATAGAGGCAATGTATTTGCCTTGTGTTCACCTGTATGAATCTGTTCCTCTTTAAATCTGATCTGAAAGCATAGCAAGATGGAGAATGACTGACGAAGTGCAGAGGTTAGGCCTTAGCACTGCAAGATGACAGCAGCTCCTCTAGAGTGATCTGACAAAATGCTTACTGTTTCAGCATAGTTAACTGAGCAGAATGAGAGGCTTTCTTCTTTCTTTCCAAGAACCTGCTATGTAGAAAGCACAATGAATAATGTTACACAGAGCAGCAAGTATAAAATAATTAACTTCAAAACCTAACCTGACCACTTACCGAACAGCTTGTTGTAGTTACCTGGAATGTTTTCAGAGCATGATAAAGGACAATATTCAAATTTCACATCTCTAGTCCTTTAGACCAAAATCTTCACTGTGTCTTGAATTTGAACAGGTAAACAATCCTTTCAGCTGTGCTGCAGGAGAAGACATAAAAATGAATCAGTTTATTTGTGTTTGTCTGATGTGGTTTATGCTTTTTTTATTTTCTTTTTTCTTCTTTTTTTCTTCTGTTTTAGAAGCATACATTTGCACATTGATAGTCTTTAAATGCTATTTTAACAATTTGGACCACCTGATATTTTCAGACACCTGCCTTGATCATTCCTGCAGCGTCCTTCAAGGGGACAGATTACAGTTCAGTGCTGTCTCATTCATCTAACAATTTGGAACAGAGTAATTAATCTTCACTTTCTCTATCCAAAACCCCACATGCAGCATTGAGCAAATGGCTTCAGTACTCATGGGGAAAGCATGTTAAAAGCATGTAGCAGTAAAATGGCGTGTGAGCAGTTTTTATTTTTTCCCTCTCCCTGCTTTACCTATCCCCAAGATTACAAATAGCTGGTGTATAATGGAAGTGAGGGGAGTTTCTCTTTGTGGTTTACTTGGATATTTAGGAAGATAAGGGAAACTGGATATTTCATAATCTGTTCATCTGATAGGAATCAAGTACTACCCGTTGCTCCTCCAGAGAGGCACAAAGTGTTCTATGATCAAGTGCTGGTACTGAAATTAGGGTTTACCTTTCTCCAGAGAGCATTAACAGTGGGTCATTTGTAGTGTGCATTATTGGGCCGAAGTCCGAGTATGTTTAAATACCATTGTAAAATGCAGATGAACCATTAGAGAATACCTGCCTACACTCACCCATCATTATCTTCAGATTTCTATCCACGAGACAGAGTAGGGATTTTATAGTTCAAAGAACAATTAATATTAAACAACCATTTAGAGAATTGGTAATAAGCATTTATATGAAACAACGTAATATTAAGAAGCTGTTCAAATAGCATGAGATGCTTTTGCTGACATGACATTTCTAAATTAATCCAAAAAGCTAGACTGTATTATGTTATATGTTTTTTTTTCATAATTATTCCTTCTATGTCCTTCGTATACCAAGAGAATCACAGGGTGCAGACACTAAATAAGTGGTGGGAGCATCTCTGCTTCCTTCATTTGCTATATTTGGAGTGGGCAAGGAAGGGACTAATCAATGTACTTCTCCAAGTTAGGAGAGCTATGCAGTTCTGATGTAATTTCAGAACATCACTGAGGCTGCTCTAAATTTGGCACTGCTCAACAAACAAGGGAGCTGTAGATGTCTTGTGGATCAGACCCTCTGTACAGACTGCATATAAAAAGAAAGAATGCAGATGCATTATCAAACCACTGATTGTTATTATTTTTCTTCATCAGAAGATCCTATGATTAGCTGCCTAGCATAAGTAATTTATGAGTCTGCTGTCTGGCTTGCCTTTGAGAGAATGATAAACTGCAGGCATATTAGCATATTTGTTTTAATTGTTAATGTTAGAACAGATCTCTCCTATGATCTCATTATGGTATGCTATGGCATTTACATTCCATGTACAGTGGATTGATTGGAGTTCAGCTGCTTGGTGCCTGACAGCAGCACCTATCAATCTAAAAATATGTCCCCTGTCCATCAAAATAAGATTAAATAGAATTCCACAAATGCTTGAGCTTTTAAAAAACCTTGTTCGCGTTTCTATTCTGCACATGAAATAAGTGGCAGAGAGAATTTTCTCATGTAGGATAGATGCAAAGCAGTAAAGACAGAGTTTCTGAGGCTGCATGTTGGGATCTGCAAACCAGCAAGTAGAAGCCTCAGTTTCTGGATTTCCAAAACCAAAGCAGGACGACCAGGTCCAACAAAAACAATACTGAGTGCTTATGTTTCAGGGAATTGCAATAGTGAGTTTTGTGCCCAAACTAAGTTGCTTCTCACAGTTGGTCCTGCTATCATGTTTTCCTAGCATTTTGTATGCTCTGTGGAATTAGGTCCTCTTACAGTCCCGTTGGACACCTGCTCATTTCTGTCCTATCGTCAATCTGTTCCAGTTCCTGCAGTATTGTGTTTCTTGATTGCAAGGAGCGTTGTAACCAAAATAATACTGGGTTACTATACAGCATAGCTATAGGGTGTGCAGAAAATGAAACATGCTATTTAACACCCCTTTAAACAACAGGGCGAACTTTTCCCATACAGAGCTGACCCTGTGTTCTGAAGAAACAGAAGCCTGCACAAAAACCAAGATAAATTCTATAGATAGTGTCACTAGAAATCTGTTATTTAGAATTCACACGATGAAACATAATCATTTTACAGTCGTTCAATAAACAATCCTCATTTATGTATCTGAGACTTAAGCTTTCTTAAGCTCAGATGCATCAACCTACCTCTCTAGTAATACTTGCATGCACGCGCATTCTCATGTATGTGAAGTAAAAAGTGCACTGAAGCCTTCATAGGCATACTGTCATATAGACAGATCCAGGTAAGTTTTGGAAGCTTCTTCCAGTGTTGTCCATTAAAACATATGTGATGAAGAAGCGTGCATGCAGAAATCAAGGTAAAAATAGCAGTAAAACTAGAGCTGTTGGAACTGCTTTGCATTGCTTTTGTGCTAGATTAGATTTCACTACAAAAAGCCAGGTATTTATTGAAACTTTGTTTCAGACTGCAGTTGATTGTCTGCAAGGGAAGGGCATGAAAAGCTCCAACTAGCTATGGTATGGAAAAACAGAGGTAGGATAGCACCTGCCAGTAACATCAGTCTTCACGGTGGTTGATCCTGAATGCACCCAGATGAATGTGGTACGGCATGGCTGGAGAGACAGTCCAAAGAAACTGCAAGATGCTGTTTAATGAAAGCTCAGGGATAGGAAATGAGCTGAGGAATCTAAAATCCATCCAGCTTGGATTTGAGCTATGACCCCAGCTAGGCCAGTTATAACTTGATTTGACTATAGGTTACCTACGGACATTTAATATCATTAAAAAAAAAAAAAAAAAAAAAAAAGTTGCAATAATCACAATCCTTCTACACATCTGTCTTGCTTCCTGCATGCTCATTTCTCCAGTTATGAGCTGACATTCCACTTACATGCTAACAGACGCTGCCTGGAGAAACCTTTAAAAATCCTTGTGAAGGGTGTGCACATGTGAGGGCTCCAGTCTATTGTTTCAAGTGAATGAAATGAATAGGAAATTAAATAATCACAACAGTTGTTTATTGTTTCAATGAGAACAAAGTGCTGACTCCATGGAAGAAAGACCAAAGACTGTGGCTTTGCATCCTTATGCTCAAACCTCTGAGGTATGTTTTGCTTCACTTTACCATGTTAGCATTGTATGAAAGAAGGCACTGGAACATGAAAAGCGGCGAACACAAGGAAGCAGTTCTTTCCTGCTGTTTCCACTTTGCATGAATTTTTAACACCTTTACTGGAGACCCAACATCTGGTGTGACTTCAGTCAGGGTTTCTCCTGGGCACTTTGATGAAGCATTTGTAGTTTGCTGTTGCAGCTTGCTGCTTGCATGCAAATTTAGGAAAAAAAAAAGAAAAGAAAAAAAGAAAAAGGAAGTTAAGCAACTACTGTCCTCTGACATTTCTGACATTTCACTTGCTAAATTTCAGAAAGTAGGGTCTCCATGGGGTGTTGGGCACTATACTCTTTCAGATCATCTCCATTTTTTGCAAACTCCTGCTGGATTTCAGTCTGTTATTATTAAGTTTTTGAGTATTATTTGGAAAAAGCAATAAACAGAGCCTTCTGAAACTCTCAGTCTGCATGTGGTGGGTTTGGACAGCCTCAGTCTCCTGTTACCATCTTGGGCACTGCTGCTCCCTTGTCACTCAGCACTGAGCTAATTGCTCCTGGGACTGAGCTTGCCCTATGCCTGGCTGTGTGATGGTGCTATCCCACAGCCTCCTGTCCTCTGTAGCCTCCACGCCGATTGCTGGATGCTCTGTGAGAGGACCCTGCTTCCTCACCCTCTGTGGGTTGGTTCTTGAGAGAGAAAGCAGGTATTTCAGTGCCGGCCCAGCAAGAAGGGCAGTCGACTGGCTGGCGGAGGTGGTTAGGTGGAGCGGGTTTTCCTGCAATTGTAGGGAAGGCTTTCCTGTTGTGCTCCAGCTGCCGCTGCCTTACAGTGAAGGAGACAGGCAGCGCTGGGATAGGATTGCTGGGACGGGGGCTGCCACTGGGCTGCCCAGACTTCCCGAAGGGTCAGCGGTCCCTACCTCTGCAGCCATGGCCCAGCCGGGAGGAGGAGGGCGGGATGCAGCGGTGGGTACCTGTGGGGTGGCTTCTCACCAGCTGCAGCCAGTGCTGGATTGTGGGGGCTTGTCATCACGAGGGACTGGGGAAACGTTTTTGAAGGTGTTCAGTGTTGGTACAGGAAAAGTGGAGGTTTGGTCTATTGCTGAGATGAATTTTGTTTTCAGTACTAGAAATGGGGGGGTGGGAAAAGGGAACTTTTTGGGAGTCTGTATTTACTTCTTGTGCATTCAAACAAGCGCTTATTGTTGTCTTGTTGTCACAAAGCAACAAAAGTGTGAGAGCTGAAGGGAGCATAAGCATCTTCATAGTGTTAACAACATCTGGAACATTATAATTCTGTTTTAAAAATAACAGATGAAGACTGAGATGTGTGTTTACACAAGAAGGAGAAAAAATACAGTAATTCCCTAAAGTCTGTTCCACTCCTCAAGCAAAGTCTTTTAAATCCCATTTATTTATTTGTAACTGATGAAGTTATGTAATCTAGAACTATGACACTAAGTAGGATGGCCTAGACACTGTGGTGTTTGTTCAAAGTGGGTTTTTTTGTACTTCTTGGCACTAGTATACTCACAGGGATGGTCTGGACACTACAGTTTTTTAACAGGCAAATTTGAAAGCCCACAAAATACATCATTTCTTTAGCAGAATCAGAAGCATGCATAGTCCGCAGGTAGAGAATTTCTAATACCATTTTTTCCAGTTTAGTATTTCAGAGAGAGCTGTTTTCTAACAGGCCAGTGTTAAACTGGATATTTAGCAAGCTCCCAGAAAAAAGGTTGAGGCTGGAGATGGTGCAGATGGATGCCAGTAATACACATTAGCGGTGGCTTAGTTGATAATTGACAGGAGGCAGACAATTTATTCAAGTTTTGTTTTTTTTTTTTTTTTTTTTAAATAAACTGCAAGACTTCATATGTTGTTGATGAGTAGGGTCTCAAAGGGATGTAATTAAGCCATTGCTTTCTCTTTGCATGCTGTCTTAAAAGCTGGTAAGCTATTTTCTGAGTGACATTGAGCACCTTTAAGTAAGAGGCCTGTCTGAGGTACTGTATCAGTACCTCTCAGGAGTGATTGCTTATGTTAGCTGCTTTTCTGTTCTCCCTCTTAGCCTGTTTGGAAGACTGGCTGCAGGACAATTAATCTGAGGTTGTCAAGTAAACCACTAACCAGTCCAACTGCTTTTGTCAGTGGGTCCTTTTCATTGCACGCAAGTGTGTGCACATTCAGTAGCACATTTAACCATATCCTGATAGTGAATAAGCATTTTCTGTTAATTTTGTAAGGCTACATGGCAAGGCTTCTCCCCAGATCAGGAACTCTCTGAGCACAGGAGAAGAGCTGTATGACCCTGTGACTCAGGGCTGGAAGGAACTAGGACTCTAAGCAACAGAGGTGCTGTATCATGACATCTTAGAAAGATGACTCTCTTAGAAGAGTGAGCTTAAATTTAATAATGGAGCTTCTGGCTTTTATTCAGTCTTCTGGTTTATATCACGTGAAGTATAGGTAAACTGGATCTCTTTTTCTTATCATTCTGCTAAAATGGATTAGAAATTGGTGTTATTATGTTTCCTAACTTATTTCAACTCCCAGAGCTCTCTGGTCATCAGTAGAGTTTAAAAAGAACTAGTGCTATTTACCCTTTTGGTTTCTAAGCTGCAAATTACATTGCCAATACAATGCAGCTCTTTGCTGTTCTTAATTTCTTAGCTTGAAGCAATGAAGTTTTGCCACAGCATGTCTACTAAAGACCTGTTTGTCAAGATTATGTGGTTACACTTAATGTTTGGTTTGTCTCAGGTCTTTAAATAGTCTTTAAAGGATAACACCCTTAAAGAATGTAAATGCATAGAGGAAAATATTTGAGATCACCAGGGTTTATTGTGGTGTGTTTCTGTTAAGTAACACTTTCTTAAGAAATAAAATACAAGTGGGTGTGCCTTTGGCAAACAATAAAGCGTTTCTGTTTCTTTGCAGCTGACATGACTTAGTTCTCCAGAGAGGTTAAAGGGAAACTTGCCACTTTAGGATTTGGCCTTATTAACAAGGAATGAAGACTGATTTGCATCTCATTGTGAGTGATACATGGTCTTACCGAAAAGGCTGAGTTGGGATGCCAAACCCTTGAATGTCTTACGGACAGAACAGTAGGCTGCACACAGCTAATTTCTTTTCTTTTTAGCTGATCTCATCGTTTTCATTTGTTGACATGTTGTGTCAGGGTCAGAATATTCAGTCGTGGACTGTTCTGCCCATTTTGGGTGATTTGGATTAATAACTGCAAATCAGTACTCACCTGCAAGTTTATTCAGATATCCATGCATTCTTTTGTACCTTTGAAAGTAGAGAATAATAGAAACTGGGTATTCGAGAAGAGAACTATGAAAGCAAATTTTGCTAAATAAGTGATTACAGGGCTCATAAGAACATTCTTCAAAAAAAGTATTGAGGTGAATTTCCTGTTTTCTTCTTAGATCTCAAGAACACCGAATATGGTTACTTGTTGGATTAATTTATTTTACTGTAAGTTCTCTCTATATTTGAAATGAGTTCTAGGAAGCACAGATCATTCCATCCTAAAGATAATCTAAAATGGTTTACAGGAGGTGCCTCTGAAGATACCTGTCATTCGCTATTAACTATCATGGGAGTTGATAAAGACCACTTCATATGAATACCACCCTCTGTGGCTAGGAAGCAAGAGAGAGGAATAGGTTTCTAATACATGTGCTAAATACTCATGATTTGCTATGATGTATTTGCAGACTTCTGCTCTGGTTTATAGGGCCAAAGAATGCTCCCCAAATAATTCTGCTTACAGAATGGGAACTTAGTACCCCTATGTGGAGCAGCAGAAGCACACTCACTGTGGTCCATGTGGCAGTGGTAAGATGGAAGATATCCCTATTTTAGCTGAGCAAGCTTTGGGATCTGATGAGGATCCTCACAATGATTTTTCTTCTCCAAGTGGAGCAGTAGAGCTGCAGGTTCTTGTTTTGTTACTGCTGGTCACATGAGCTGAGTGCTTCATGCACCACTGAGAGAGGTTTCTAACTACCTCCATCCTCTAAAATAGATTACCTTCAGAGCACAAATATAATTTGTTCCTTATCCTCCACACTCCCACGCTTCACAGCTAATTTCCCCTTCTAATTACCTGATTACAATCTTGATTTTTAAATACACCATCGATCTTTGGCAGCTCAGCTTACTGCAAGTAGAGCGAGGAACTCCTTGGTGCTGGGTGGTGAGGTTTTTTGCAGCACTTAGAATCTCATTTTAGCCTTTGCAAATGTGCAGAGTATGCCCTAAGAATGCTTGTTTATCCTTTTAAAAAATAAAAGAAAAACTTTGGTGGGCTTTTTAATGATCACATGTGAGGAGCAGAAAGCAAGAGATGCCAGCAGTGCGTCGTGTAATGTGATAGGTACTGCTTTATAAGCCCAGGGAGCTTTAGTCATTCAAAAGAGCACCATATGCCTTCAGCTTGCTGGTAGTGTAAATTCAGATATCTGGCTGGTAAGTGAGGTCACAATTTCCTACCTGTTGTAGTTCCTGGGACTTCGTTTGCTGCTGTTTATTTTAAAGGCTGTCTTTGATAAAAAAAAAACAGACTTTGAGCTTCTACCTTTGAAATTATAATGTCTCATTTTTAATCTAGATGGAGGTGGTGATTATGAATTGAAATGGTATTACTGATTCCCCCTTTGCTACAGGGAAAGAATTCATAGGACAACTATGATATGCTTAGAATGATATTCCTTCTAGAAGCCACCCTAAAACCTTCACTAAAAAAATTACAGTAGCTTAAGGGCCCCAATGCTTCCAGGCTGCACTGAACATAGCAGTTGTGTGTGAAAGTATATGACTAGAAGGAGCACACTGAACTATTTCTGGCTATTTTTGTAGTTGTATTGTCTGCTATAAAGAGTACCATGTCACCTGAGGCAGTACAGAAGTGAAATCCCTAGAAGTGAGAGATTTCCTGCTCTGTTGTGCAACCAAAGCCATATGAAAACTGGTGGGACTTGGTGTGACCCACTTCCTCAATATTTGTTGTTGCACTGCTGTGATATACCCCAGAATAAATAACAGTTTCTTCAATGAGAAGTGTGAATTTAGTTGGAGAAGGGATTTTTGAAACAGATCTTCAGAGATAAGTTTGTTAGGAAGACACCACTAATGCTTGTAGACCTAATGCTGATCCACATGTGCTAAGGATTAAACAATCTTTTGCTTTCATTACTCTTGAGCATTGTGAGGAAGTATTAAATCTTGTACCTAAAGAATGCAAGGCTACAAAGGTTGCAAGACTATAAAAAAGAAAAGTCAAAGAGCATTCCAAATGTGCATTGGTATAGATTTATGCACATATGTAATATTGCATGCAGTATAACATTTATATAATATCAAATCAGCAATTTATTGATTACTTTTGAATTTACGAGCTATGATCTTCGTATGGTTTTTTTCTTCCTTTTTTCTTATTAGGTTTTTGAGGCTCAATTATTGTTTTAGCTCCTGTGAGAAGGAATACATGATATTGTGCCAAAGACCATAGTTCTGTTATATGTTCATCTCACTGGAGAACATACAGGATTTGGCTTTTTGAAAATATATTCTGTTACTAACATATGGTTCAAGTGGAGAAAGATGTTATCAAGGCTTTGCATCACTGAAAGCAACATGGCAGACGTTCCTTTGCTGCATTAATATCCTTTACATGTTACAAACAGCTATCTTAACATCATGGAAATATTGTATGTTACTTCCTTGTAGACAAGACAGCTAATGATTCTTTTGTCAGGGAAAATGTATGACTAAGATAAACTATTCAGTTTCTGTATGTGCTTTTGCATGATAGGCTGCTGAACAGGTACTATCCTTGGAATATTTATTAATTTGCACTGTTTGGGTAAAAACAACAACAAAACAAAGAAAAAATCAGTAGACAAGTATTTTCATGTTTGAGGGCATGTGAACCTTGCTTTGTTTAATGTTATGGAGGTTTTCATTAAGCATTTAAAAAAATATATCTGAGTTTTGATTATTTGTTCTCTGTGCAAATTACAATACTTAGATGATTATCTCACTAGCTGTGGTGCTGCAAATTGCTAACATCGCAAGTTACTCATTGGCCCTAGTGTCTCTGGTGCAGAAGGTAAAATGTCTAATGGATTTAGGACAAACCATACTATGGAGCATTCCATTGGTTTAATCACATTTGAAATATTTATTGAATGTGATGTAAAGCAATCAGATTCATTTGTTTGAAGGAACAGTTGTTCCCAAGGCAATTTTGTCTACATCCTGGAGAGGGATAGAAAATGGCAAAAGAAGAGCATTTTCTTTATTTTTGTTTTACAGCTAACAGAAGAAATTGCAAGTGGTTTTTATTGCCCATGCCAAATTTTATGACAAGAACATAAATTTTAAATTTTCCTTTTATAGTGCACTTAACAGAAAAATACTGCTGCTTTGAAAACTGCAGCTGTGTATTATGATAGTAGACTGCTTAAGCACTTGCCATGGTTCATTCAGGAAGAGTATGTGTGTTCACTATAAATCTTCTTTTACTATACATCTAGGATACGTAGGCACATGCATGCATACATGGATAACCCATTTTATTGCCTTTCATACCTAGTTTTTCATATTTCATGTGAAATTTCTTTTCATACCCATCTAGTGGCAACTTAATATTTTATTTTCTAACTGAACAAGTTGGCAAGTATTTTCTAGAAAAATATTTAATCCACAAGTGCTTCATTTTTAGTTTAGTCTGCAGTCTTGTGTGCATTTGTGAACATTCCCATATATGAGTTTGGAAGAGCTGAGCCAGAATAGTCTTATTGTAGTAATCATATCGTGGTAGTCTTAAGTCAACAGATTGTTAGGTAAAAAAAATGCTGTTTGAACCTACTTGGGTGTATTTTGGTCACCATTCACCACAACGTAACAAACTGGTTTGTCAGTGAGGTGGCACATCAAGGACTTCTGGAATGTGGCACATATCCAGCTCTTTTGCATACCACTGTTTGTTACTAAGATTCTTAAAATCTGCTGAGAATCATAGAATCATAGTGTGGCCAGGGTTGGATGGGACCTCAAGGATCATGAAGCTCCAAGCCCGCTGCTGCATGCAGGGCCACCAACCTCCACATTTAATACTAGACCAGGCTGCCCAGGGCCCCATCCAACCTGGCCTTGAACACCTCCAGGGATGGGACATCCACAGCCTCTTTGGGCAGGCTGTTCCAGCACCTTACCATTCTCGTAGTAAAGAACTTCCCCCTGATATCCAACCTAAATCTTCCCTCCTTCTACATACAACTGTTTTCCCCTTCCATGTCACTGAGGCCGCTGCAATTTAAGGTGCACCAAAGCAGCCTTAACTCCTGCTGTGAAATCAACATGAGGAGCTGGGATTGAAATTGAAACTTCTTAGGAAGCTTCACTCACTCCTGGATAGATTCTCTTCTCACTTTCCATGAAAGAAAAGAAAGAAAAAGACTTTTTTTTTTTTCTTTTTTTTTTTTCCATTCTGGGTCTTGAGGCTTCCTTCGTGGCTTTCCACGTAGGCCATGTTGACTATGGAGTTTGACCGTGTGTGTATTATAAACCATACACATTACATTTCTGCCTATTTCTGCCTCATTACTGCTGCTGTGGATTCTCTTATCACACAAAAACAAATTACAAAGTATGAAACTTCAAGGAGTTCAAAAGATTCCGTAGCTGGATGAGCTGCACAATGTACTTTAGACATCAGCTTAAAAGCAAAGGCAGAATTGCAGTCAGTTAAAAAGCAATCATTGGATTACCCAGAAAATACAGCCCCTTTTCTGTGCCTCTTAAAGTCTTCATTGCTCTCTCCCAGTTGCGGTGTTTTTTGACTTACTGGCAGCTGCAAAAGGAAACAGGGAAATGTCTTTCTTTGGTTCTGTCAGCGTGCTCCACTTTGATTACTGTGGAAGACAGGCTTTTATGGGCTTCTATTCCAAGAATTTTACAGTCTAGGATCAGATTTTGACGCTCTTGCTAGTCAGGAGTAAGTGGCTATTCCATCAGGTCAGATAGATCAGAATGGGTTATCAGTTAGGATGGTGGTGTTTAGACAGAGCCATGACAGTGATTCAAACACTTTTCCATGAGTCAGTGATGCAAATATTTTTCTGCTGGTTTAGTCTTTTCAACTGTCTTTTAGATGAGTAACGTAGAAAAACCTTTGGTTATCCTTTTATTTAAGACAATGTGCTTTCAGAAGGAAACAAAATGAATGAAACCTTTTGGCACATGAGAGAGCAGGAGGGATTTTGTGCAGAATGAAGAGCATGGAAAAAAGCCCCATATCCGGAACATGGTCCTAAGAAGCAAACCAGAGAGGTCGGCAGATTTTCACTAGGCTGCCAAGAGATGAGCAATGATTAGGTGATTTGCCTCCTTAAAACCTTGTCTGCTGCCAGCCCCAAATCCCCTTCTCCCATTTCCAGTGCAGCTTTCAGCCCGCAGGATAAGCGGATGATGAGGCATACAGTTGTGGTGTGGAAGGGATTCAAACAAAGTGAATGAGATTCTTATCTTCTGGGACTTATGTGATACAGAGAGTGAAGAGGAGGGAAGACAAACTGTTCTTCATTTGCAGAAAATGCTTTCATCTTTTGCTTTGCTGTGTGGCTATGGCTGAAGGGAGAGCAGAGAAGCTGTCTTCCTGCTTATATCAAATTGCCAGGCCTTTAATTTTGACCAGATGAGCCATGCAATTATGGCATCTGATGGATAGTTATAAAGGAATTAGTCTTTGGCAAACTGAACTTCATTTCAAGTAATATCAGCATCACAGAAGAGTCAGGAAACCAAATTCTGTGACAGAGTCAGTGCCTTTCCCTAAGCACTCAAATTTCTTGGCAGAATAAAAGGAAGCCCAAGTGCAAAGAGACAGAGTACTCTAATTTCTAAGCGCATTCTGGAACGGACGTCTTGCTGCTCTTCCCACAAGCAGGCAGTGCAGGATGCTGACAGGTACCCTGAACCTTGCCTCCATGCCTGTCAAACTCTCCCATTTTATTGTGGTTCCTATTGGGGTTATAGGTAGTATTCCTGCTGCCGTGCCCCGTGCTCTAATTGCCATGAAGTGCAGGAGGTTCAAGCACGCTTGGTTCCCAAGGCTGCTAATGAGCCCCAGCTCTTCTCGCCCTTAATGAACCAAGACTTGTCTGGGGGGATTCTTGTCCGCCCCTCTTTCTTCCTGGTCAGGGAAGGAGGCGAGAGTTCACACAGCAGAACAATGACTTTACAGTGTGGGGGCCATGCAGCTGTGCCATCTGAAGCTGTGCTTGGTTATGAGCAACAAAGCTTAAATAGATTGTACTGTGAGGAGGTACGGCTCTTGCTTCTGCCTCACTGAGCTGTCCACTCGCGGCAGCGATGGGGCCCTGACGGGAGCTTCTGCAGGGAGAGCTGCGCGGGGCGACGCTTTCGCATTCTCTCTGTGATGCTGAAAGCAGAATTGGGAGCAAAATGAAGTTTTAGTGGATCTCTGAGAGGGCTGCGCTGCCACCTCCTCAAGAAAATCCCATCAAAAGTCACAGATTCCTAATCCACCTCAGATGGTTAATAAGGCCACTAGAGCAAGCATAATTCAGGAGTTTCAGCGTTGGAGAGTGTTTTCACAGCAAAGCATGCACACAGACAAACCCTTAACCAAATCTCACTTTTCAGTATTTTTCTCTCGGCAGGCTCTTTTCATAGGTTAGAATCATCAGGAATTTGGGCTCAATTAGTAGAAATTTCATATGCTTCATCTTTCTTGGGGTATTTCAGTTAGGACACTGCAATCCTCTGGCTAATTTATCTCACTGCAAACACACGTGTCATATTTACACATGTACATGTACCTGTACATACGGTACAAATTACCTTGAAATACATCGGAGCAGTATATTAATATAGTACGATAAATATATCCGTGAAAAACATAAAAATATCACGTGCTTTCCTTGATACACTGTTCCCTGTGTATATCCATGCAAATATTTACACATGTGAACACAGATATGTACCCTAGGTGCTGTGCTATAACAGTAACTTAGCATTTCAACCTGAGAAAAGAACTGTGTGAATTAAAATAGCAGTGAGAGAAATGTAAGGTTACCGGCTGTTATATACTGGGCTAACTCTTGCACAATGATATACAAAGGTGAAATTGTTTTAAGTTTTACTACTAGATTAGCAAAGCCAAAAACAGCATCTGCAAAAGAAATTTGATTTTGCTGTAGTAGGCTGTTTGAAAATCATCACATTGTTGTTTTAATCATTTTGGGTTTTTAGCAGTGCAGAGAAACATCTGCTGCTTTCCTCAATTGCATGAGCGAGAAAGAGAAAGCGAAAGAATAAGGAGCTTTTGCTTTGCATTCCTAAGTGAACAGAGAGAATAGGGGGAAAAAAAAAAGAAAAAAAAAAAAGCCATCTAGTTTTAAATACCTTGATATGTGCATGTGCAGGTTCAAAACTTTTGCTTGCTCTCCCACCCGGAGTGGTGGACCGATAGAACCGGGAGCCGCGGCGAAGCTGGCAACCCCCCATGGCTGACCCCTCATGTTGTTTGTCGCCTAATCGAATTTTGCGTGTGTTTCCAGATAGCTGATCAGCTTCCCTGGATTTCGCTGACGCCACAGGAAAGCTTTGCCTGAAGATGGAAACACTGGAGTCGGAACTGACCTGCCCTATCTGTCTGGAGCTGTTTGAGGACCCGCTGCTGCTGCCCTGCGCTCACAGTCTCTGCTTCAACTGCGCGCACCGCATCCTGGTCTCCCACTGCGCCTCCAACGAGCCGGTGGAGTCTATCACCGCCTTCCAGTGCCCCACCTGCCGCTATGTCATCACCCTCAGCCAGCGTGGTCTAGAGGGGCTCAAGCGCAACGTCACCCTGCAGAACATCATCGACCGCTTTCAGAAAGCCTCAGTGAGTGGGCCCAACTCCCCCAGTGAGACCCGTCGGGAGCGGGCATTCGACAGCAACAGCATGTCCTCCTGCGAGAAGGTCCTCTGCCAGTTCTGTGACCAGGACCCTGCCCAGGAGGCAGTGAAGACATGCGTGACTTGCGAGGTCTCCTACTGCGAGGAATGCCTGAAAGCCACGCACCCCAACAAGAAGCCTTTCACCGGCCACCGGCTGATTGAGCCCATCCCGGATTCTCACATCAGGGGATTAATGTGCTTGGAGCACGAGGATGAGAAGGTGAACATGTACTGCGTGACAGACGATCAACTGATCTGTGCCCTGTGCAAGCTTGTCGGGCGGCACCGAGACCATCAGGTGGCAGCTCTAAGCGAGCGCTACGACAAGCTGAAGGTGAGTGCTGCCCTCGCACCCCATATGGAGTGGTGGGGAGGGAAGGTGTCCTGCTGTTCAGTGTTGTGTTTCCTTGTTTGGGCACAGGCTGGTGAAGGCAGGTGTGCGATCTGTCATCAGGTGAGATGCATGTACAGACTGCTGTGTGCTCATCAGAAAGGGATCAGGTTTTCCCTTGAAGAAAGATTCCTTGGTTGTGCTTTGATTTTTCTGCTGCATGCAGTGTACACTATTGCTAGCACAGTAAGCTATCTGTATTAGATAAGTATTAGCTTATCTGTCTGCATCCATCCACATCTTCCCTCATGGCAGTTGGCCGGGTTTTGTGTTGGCTGCACATACACAGGCCCTGATGGAAATGTTGGTGTTCTTTGCATACGCTCTGCTGTTGATTATTTTTTATCAAGCTGTTTTTATCATAGAAAACCCTTCGCATCACTGCTAATAAGAAATGCAATTATACCTGCTGATTTCAGGGGCTGAGCTGCCTTGTCAGCCAGGGAGACCAAATGCCAGCCCCAGTCCTCCCATGCTGCCCCGAAGGAAACTAAACCAAAAATCTCTTTCAGCTCCTTGTGGCATTCCATGGTTCCCCCCTCGCACCTGGCACCCAGCTGGAACCCACCTGGCCCATGTGGGGTGTCCTCACTGAGTGAAACAAAAGGCCATGATGCAGACCTGCTCAGGTTGCTCTGCAGGCTCCCACTGAGGCCATCAAGCAGCCTTGGACCAAACACATTGATTTAGATGCTGCAAGCAGAGGAGAGGAATTAATAAGATTTCCTCAGGCTATGTATGTATGTCTGTATGTACTTGTCTGCGTATGTTTTGGGGGGGATTCCTTGGTTGAGAAGACACAAGTGTGGAGCGCGAAGATAACCCACCACAGTTCTGGAGATATGAGAAGAAACTGAATTAATAGATTTAACTAACTGGAAATATATTCTTAAATAACTTGAAGATGAAAATGTGAGACCACACACATACATGATAACTTTGTGTGAGTGCAGGTAAATTCTGCATGCCACATGTTTTTCATGCCTCTGTGCATGTGCAGATATGCATATCATGCTCTATTCTTTACTTGGACCTGATAACTTCTTTCCATTTCTTAATTAATTTTTTTAAAGTTAAAGTTGTTATTTCAGCTTTCCTTTTTTTTTTTTTTTTTTTTTTTTTTTTCCTGAAGAAGTGCTTGTTTGTTTTTTTTAAATAATGAAGAGTTTAGCCACTGCTAAAATGGGACGTGGGCTCTAAATGCGAATGCTTGCCAGGTGCTACGGTTCAGCAAGCTAATAGCGACTAAACACCTGTATCGTTTATCAACTTGATAAGAGTAGGAATGTGTAATTTGATGTGAAATACCTTTGAAGTTCGGTATTAGCTAAGTGCATTTTTGAGAATGCCAGTAAATGTTAAACAAAATTTCTTATGCTGGTATACTTAGATATGGCTAGTCTTGGAAGAAGACTTCAAGAAGCAAATGTCTTTACTTGAGATCTTAATATGGCACATGGTTAAGAAAAAAATCTGTGTGTTTTTACATAATCTCTGTCTTTTCTGCGCAAAGATGCCTACGCAGACTCTGGATGGGTATCTCAAACAAACAAGCAGTGCTTGTTTTTCACCTTAGATGTTTCCCAGATTAGCAAACCTGGCAGAAACATAATAGAGTACTTTCCAGCAGACTCATCAATGAATTCAAGTACTAATTTAATGATTAGAGTGGGCCTGGATCAAATAACTCTTTCTTACAGAAGCAATTTCTGTCATTATCTGTACAGGTTTTTTTGTTTGTTTGTTTAGACTTACACTTTCCTTGTACTCAAACTATTTGGAAGTAGTTTATACAGGAAATTATTAGCCGACATGAAATCCAATTACTATCCTTTTTGTCATGAGTGAAATAGACTTATTTTACTTTGTTAATCCCTGTGACGATACCAATCATACCAATTTTGCCACCAGTTACAACAGTCTGAGCCCAGGGATAGTAGGCTAGGTGAGTTCTATCCAGATCCAGATTCCATTCTCTGTTCATAAGAAGGTAATCAGAAATTGATGTCCTTCCTTTCCTCATTGCCTCTTCGATCTCAGTAGCGTGAGCTGTTTTATATATTAAACTCTGAGAATAAGATTTTCTCTTTAGTAGATTGGATTTCTTCCTTAGGAATAAAGGAATTAGGTTTATTTACATCACTGCTTAGCAGCGAACAGGCAAGATTGTCTGTTCCCTTTTCATGTTGAGGCAACCTTCTTCATAAATGGTAATACCATTTCTTCAGTAACTGCTGGTTTTGCTGTTGTTGTAAGTCTTTGGTTCAAGCTTGCATTTAGTGTTTGTTAAGTTACAGTTAATGTGCAGATGTCAGCGTTAAATGCAGTGTTCAAGTTAATCAGAAAATACCCATCTGAAAAACAGGTTGTTGCTTGCTATATTGTTGCCAAGGGTTTTTAAATACATAGGGTTTGTTTGATAGATGGGTTACGCAAATCTTCAAAAAAAATTCTAAAAGAATGAGTATGTGCTAGTCAGTAGGGTAGTGGATTCATTCAAAAATTGGTGGCTAATAGTAAGTATCTTAGAAGAAGAAAAACAAAACCGCTTCATGTGATGTTTTCTTTTCTTGCAATTTTCTTTTTAAATCAACACATTATTGATGCCAACAACAGCAACTAGTGTGTAGCTTTAGGTGTCAAGCTATGCTAATTACTCGCATTCTTTTCCAGCAGCGTTACTAATTATTTAAACTATATCTCATCCTTCATTAAGCATAGGACAATAGATGCCATTGCAATCTAGCTCCCTTTGTGGCAAAAATGAAGCCCTTTAATTAGGAGTTCTGTACCCTTGTCCAGCAGAGACGTCTATGCTAAAGCATGTTTAACAGTCGGTGTAATTGCAATTGTGGACATCTGAAAATGAGAAAGTGTTTTCCTTTGGCAGCTATTGCTCTAGCCCTGAGAGATGCTTTTGTTAATGAACTTCTACTGTGCATGGAGGGGTCTGAGGGCACTTATTTCAGAAGCAATTCATTCTTGGTTACTAAGAACATGTGGTGTAATTACATGCTTATAGATGTTTTAGTGTGTACAGACTTTTTTATAGACAAAGATATGTTTTAAAAAAGAAACATCATATACCATGACAAAAACAGAGAATAAGAACTGTTCTGGTTATCACTGAATTAATGAAGTGATGGTCAGAATTGTGGTATAAGTTAGAAATAGCTTCTAGCTGCATAAACAATGAAAGTTGTAAAAACAGAAGCTGCAGATGCTCATGCTCACTGCAGTATAATACTACAAAGAAAAGATTTTTGTCTAATTACCTTTGATGTTGATTTTTTGTTTTTTGTCTTGTTTAAATGTGAAGGAAAAGACAAATATGCGCTCATGTTTCCAGAGAAAATTAATGAAAATTGCCACTGTTCTTTAGACATATTTATACTTAAGAAAGTAATAAGAAAAATGAAAAGAGGAAGAAGCTACAAGGTGGGTGTGAATGAAAAATAATGTCTGATTAATTTTAGCAAAAAGCCATGAAGAAATGTCACAAAAGGGGAAGACAGACGGTAAACCATATTTTGAAATGGTATAAAGCAAGTGCCATTGAAACCGATAATTTTTTCTTCTTCATATTTACCAGGAATCTGGCCACTGATATGCATAATCTTGCAAAAAAAATATATATTTGGAATGCTTTGTGTGATGCGTAATCAAGCGAGATCCTTTGTTAAATCAAACTGCTATAGGTTAGCAGTTGTTCCCCATGTTTTTGTTTGACCCTTATTAGCGCTGACACGTATTGGGCATATTTATGAAGGCAAGGCAGTCCTGTGAATGGCAGTCAGGAATTCCAAGAACAAAAGGGAGCTTCTTGTTTGTACGGCTTTTATTTTGTTTTACTGGCAGAATCCATACACATCTATTTTTACTCTGCTGTTTATGCAGGATGCAAGGATTCAGTTTTCAATGGAGTGTCAATTCAATTACTCACAAATATTTTTGGTGGGAAGCAACCATAAGTCGTTTCCACATAGGGAGAATTGCATTCAACTCTTACGAATTTACTTCAGCTGTGTAAAGGTAGGAGACTTTGTCAGGTCCACAGCTTCCACAAATTGGGCACAAAAAGATATCTCCTCCAATATGTTTACTCTGAGTTAAAATCATCTCGTATTTCAATGTCTCTGCAGAGACACTGTCAAAGTATGCATTGAAGCTTTCCAACTATTAATTGGTATAGTGCATACTGTAAGAATCTAATGCTTGGAAACCTGTGCTCAAACAAACAGATGGGTTGACAATCCAGGAATACTGATTTTTGTATTTGTACATAAATACATTAAGCAAATGCATGTAAGTATATGTCCGTATGCATTTTATTATGTTTATTTGTATATTTATAGTGCTTATGGTAGTATGATAACAATATTGCATACGTTAATAGGTATGTCAGTGTATCTATGTTTGAACAGCACAGAAATATATAATTCCTAGTAGTTCATTAATATATAGAATTTATATGAATATATATATGCCTATATTTTCACTATATAAAGTTTCAGATACGTATATGTTGGTCACTACAAATATATTTGATGACATGTACATTAGCTACATTTCAATTATTTAATCTACTGTATCCAAAACATGGCACCCCTGGACTTGCATTATTACTAGAGTAGTATTAGATTACTGTTTGATTAGATACTATTTAACACATATTTCAGTGTATATGAATTAAGGAGTGGTCACTTATATTGGTACAGAATATTATGTAATTTTACACAAAGCACAGAGAGTTAACTATACTTTTTCAGTATTATAAAGACTCAAAAGCATTAACTTGTTTCATGGAAGAGAACAGATGTAGGAATGAACTATTTCAGTACACAGGTATTCGAGTAGGACTTATTTTATTAATGTGTAAATATTAAGGCAACTTTAGATCATACTTTTTTAGTCTAGTGTTTTCTCAGGTTACTATGTTTGCCAAATCTGATATTTCTTTTGTGAAATTTAAAAGCATATAACATAAATACGCTCACAACAACATTACTGGTGGTGATTTTTGCTTGTTTGAATTGTTTTTGTTGGTTCTTTTTTCTTTTTTA